CTGGAGGGGTTCAAGGCCAGGCTGGATGAGGCTTTGAGCAACCTGGGCTGGTGGGAGGTGTCCCTGCCCATGGCAGGGGGTGGCACTGGGTGGGCTTTAGGGTCCCTTCCCACCCAAACCACTCTGGGATTCTGTGATAGGATTTTTATGAACAAAAAGTATGGAAGTCCTCTCGGAAGTTGGTTGAAAATCAAGTTGTTGTGACACCCCCAGAGTTTAACGTCTCACCTCTTCCCTCCAGTTCAGCTATGGCGATGAAGACTTGTCACCCAACACTGCCAACATCCAGATGACCTTCCTCCGCCTCCTCTCCACCGAAGGCTCCCAGAACGTCACGTACCACTGCAAGAACAGCATCGCCTACATGGACGAGGAGACAGGCAACCTGAAGAAAGCCCTCCTCATCCAGGGATCCAACGACGTGGAGATCAGAGCCGAGGGCAACAGCAGGTTCACCTACAGCGTCCTGGAGGACGGCTGCACGGTAGGTCCACAGGCGCCTACGGGAGAAAGACGTAGACGATGAGTTGGGGTTCAACCCGTTGGGTTGGAGGACTCGAGAGCATCTCATAACATCCTTCCTCCGGGTTTTCTCCCCAGAAACACACCGGGAAATGGGGCAAGACAGTCATCGAGTACCGATCGCAGAAGACCTCGCGCCTGCCCATTGTAGATATTGCACCTATGGACATTGGTGGAGCCGATCAGGAGTTTGGCGTGGATATTGGCCCGGTCTGCTTCTTGTAAAAAGATTTTATTTGTGTGTTTGTTTGTTGTTGTTGTTTGTTGTTTTGTTGGTTTGTTTTTTTTTTTTTAAAACCAGCCCAATACCATTAAAAAAAACCCTAAAAAAAACCCCAAAAACTCACCCTAAGGACCTGAGTACTTTCCATACGACTTCTGCACTGAATGGCTGCAACGACCCCTCGGTTCACGCCCGTCCGTCGGGGAACCACCGACCGCCTCTTGCCAACGCTGTCCGGGCAGGCTGCGAAATTGAAAAAAAAACAAAACAAAAAAACCCTTACGGTCTTATTTATTTATTCTCTTCCTATAAGACCTATTTTTTAGGTCAGGTGGAGGTGGGAATCTAAGTGACAGGTCCGATGGTCCTTCCCTGCAAAAATTTGGCAAAATTCGGGTGTTGCGAATCCCCTCCCGCCCCCCAGCCCCTTCCCCTGTGTATCACCAGCAGGAGTGCTAATGTATCATACGTCAAAACAACAAAAAAAAAAATATGGTGCTATTCTTGTACAACAAGTCTGTATTTTTTAACATCAGTTGATATTAAAAAAAGAAAAAAACTTTTGGTGGAAAGTACAAGTCGATGTGGGCTTGGTTTTTTGTTGGTGTTTGCTGCTGTCTGACTCCTTTCTCCCCATTTCTCAGGGTTTTTGGGCCAAATCTCCAAATTTTCTGGAAAAAAAAAACCCCACCCCAAAACAAATAAACCCCCCAAAAGTCAAAAAAAAGGAAGGGAAAATCATCTTAAGTGAAAAATCTTGAAACACCAGGAGCCAATTAAAGGATCCCTTGTCCCATTGCTCGGACACCAGTAAAGGAAACCAGTAAAACCAGTGGGGAGGGAGACACAGAGACAAATCGTCCTGCAAATCAGTACAGCCACGGCCAGGAGCCCCCTGACCCTGTTCCCTGTGGAATTTGTCCCATTTTGTCCATTTAAAAATATAATTTCAGGTATTTTTTGCAATAGGGAGGGTGGCAGCGTTCACTGACATCGTGTAAAGCAGCTGCGTCTTCGGTACCATAAAAAGTTATAAATGTAAATTCTTCCCTTCAGCAGCCTGGCTCATTAGAGGAAAAGCCTCAGTAGCTGATTTTTTTTTAAAATTATTTTAAAGAAAATCAGCCCACGGGCCCCACAAGCATTAGACACGCTCCAGCTTCACGTACCGGCGGCTGTTGCTGGAGGAGTTGATGAGTTTCATGACAGTGCTTTGGGTAAAAGATCGGCTTTCCGCATCCGCTGATAGCGTGGGCACTGCAGGTTTTCATTAAGAGAAATTAGGGCTTTAAAGGATTAAAAAAAAAAAAAACCAAGAAAATCAGCCCACGGGCCCCACAAGCATTAGACACGCTCCAGCTTCACGTACCGGCGGCTGTTGCTGGAGGAGTTGATGAGTTTCATGACAGTGCTTTGGGTAAAAGATCGGCTTTCCGCATCCGCTGATAGCGTGGGCACTGCAGGTTTTCATTAAGAGAAATTAGGGCTTTAAAGGATTAAAAAAAAAAAAAACCAAACCTCTTTTAAAAGTGCTACTTTGGGGCCCTCGTCTCGATTTTAAACACTCACAGCTGGCAGCACAGCAGCAACCGCCGCTGCTGGAGCACCTGAGGGCTGGGATCTTGAAAAAAAAAAAAAAATATTGGCAGAAGAAATTCATTAAAAAGGATTAGGAAGGATTTTCAAAGGAAAACACCCTTTAAAAGACCAAGTGCTTTGCCACACAACCCGCAGGGCACCCCGTGTTATTAGCGCTGTGGCTTCCACACAACAAATTTGGGGAAAAATTTGGGGGAAAGCTGTTCCCCTGCTCAGCCAAGCTCCAGGGTTGGGGTTCCTGCTGCAAGGACCCTATGAGCCCCCCCCAAAATCACCCAGGTAAAAACAACCTCCCCCCCTTTTAAGACCTGGGGATGGGGCAGCAGCTGAAGATGACGACAGGGGTGGGAAAAGCAGCTGTGGGGTGCAGGAGGCTGGGGCACCCCAAAAGGAGAAACCCACAGTGCCAGGATTGAGCCTCCCCAGGCTGCCGAGAGGGAGGAAGCCGAGGAAAGGAGAAGGATAAAGAGCAAAGTTTGTGATTTCCTCAGCTTCCTAAAAAAAAGGAAGTTTGATTCATCATAAATTGGGGGTTTATGGAAGTGTGAGCAGCTCGTGATGGGGATGAGCAGGGACCACGCGGCGTGACGGGAGCTGGGGCGATGGCTCCAGGTGCTGAGTTTTTTGCCCCCCTGCCTGAACAATCAGCAGCAAGAGGAGAGGTACTTGTGGGTAAAAGATGACCCGATACCAGACACAGGGCAGAGCAGGAACCCCAGGATAAAATGTTTGAGGAAGGACAAAGGCAGAGCTCTTCTTCAAACAAAGGACACGGCCCAGTAACGTCCAACTCGGCTTTAATAAGTAAAATTCAGTTCTAGAAACCAACTCCCAAGGCAAAAATGCTGCTTTTTAAAAAAGGGAAGGTGCGTTTTTATTTCACATTTGCACAGAATCAAGTATCCTTCATTGAAAAGCACCACGAGCCGTTCCCCTCGCAGCCTGTGTTTCCACAAACACGCTCACGACCTCGCGCCCAACAGGCAAAGGTGCCGGCAGGGAGGAAACGAGGGCAGCGGCCGGAGCGACCAAATTCCAGAAAAACTACAAAAAGGCAGAAGCAGCGTGAAATCCTCCGAGCTGCAAACAGCACAAATCCGCAGGGAGAACGGCGGCAGGCTGAGCTTTCACAGTTATTTAAGGACGCAGCTGATACCGTCTGTAGGGAACAGCCGGCTGCTGGGAGATGCCTTTGAAACACCAAATTCCCCCAAAACCAGTTTAAATCCCCAATTTAAATCGTTTGTGGCAAGCACGGGTACAAAGCCACGCTGAGTGATGAGTTCCTTGGCTTCAAACCCCCCGAGAGCCCGCAGCTGCGGGGAGAGGAAGGTTCAGAGCCGTGCAGAGGAGGAGGAAGGTCTGATTCACGCAGACCCTTCGCACGTCCCCAGCGGCATCGTCTGCGTTACGAGTGCCAGGTTTTGGTATCAGTTTGCTGTAGGTGGCCTCAGCTGCCAGCAAACAAGATCTGCACAACAGAGAAAGCGAGTTTCAAAGGTTTCAAATCCTTCTGGCACACGTTAGAGGCAGAAACCTTCTCTGTGTCCATCCCTTTTTATCAAGGTCTGCTTTGAAACAAACCAGAGATGCTGCCACTGAACAAAAGTGGAATAAATTCATTGCACAGAACGAATTTGTTTCCCCTGAAAGGACCCAACGCAGTGCTAAGCTTCAAAAAAAGCTGCAAAAGTCAACCCGAAATCTTTGGGATCTTCAGATCTCAAAGCATGAAGCTCGAGAGTCTGGTTTCCCCACCAAAAATTAATTCTTCAGGACTGAAGAGGAAGGCAGGCGCAGCAGGAGCCTGGCTTTGGGAGGGGACCCGCGTGCTTGGACAGGAACAACACCCCCGAGCAGGTTGTGCAGACAGGCCGGCAGCGCAGCCCAGCGGCACACAGAAGAGCACAAAAGGGAGCCAGAGCTTTCAAATATCAAAGTCACTCGCCATCCCTCTGCTTCCCTTTGAAAAATCCCTGCTCCCTTCTAGAAATTAATATGCACAAGAATCTGCCCACGGAAAAACAGCAGGGCTGGCTCTCGGCTGCGCCTCACGTGGAGCGGGACAGCAGAGGCAGCGGGTCCTGGGCGGCCGTGGAGTTGGTGCTGCAGTCCACGTAGTGGTACGTCTCCAGAGCGCTCTGCGTCCTGTGGCCGATGTACGAGAGCTTCACCGACGTCCTGGGAGGGAGGAAAAGCAGTTCAGTGGGGAGAGGACCTGCGACAGCGATCCTTCTATCAAAATCAAAAACTCAGCGGGTTTTACACTCATCATGGAACTCCCTCTTCCCCCTCGAAAGCTGCAGATTCTCTCGGATTTTCGCTCAAAACCGCTCGCTGCAGCAGGCAGAGATACGCAGAGCTGGCGAGCGCAGGCTCTGGAGCACACCAGCACTCACGTGAAAGCTCAGTGTGGAGCAATCGGGCGTCTTCTCCTCCCTATCTGACATTTCCCCCCACTCTCTCAACCAGCCTGGATTAAAAGCTGACGCAGCGAGCCGGGCTGGGGTGCTTGCCAGGCGGTATTTCCTCCGTGCACCCTAAATTCGCAGCAGCAGCAATCCCCTTTTGAGTCAGGAGCCGAGCAGAGAACCACCCACCTCATGAAGATCAGGATGTTGTGTACCTTCACCTTGGGAAATGTGCAAAAGAAACTGCAAAAGACCAAAACCAACAAAGGAGGTCAGCAGAGGCTACGCAGGGTGGCAGAGACGCGTTTTCTCGGTATCTTCTAAAGATATTTTCCTTTTGGTGCCAGCAATCCCCTTTTGAGTCAGGAGCCGAGCAGAGAACCACCCACCTCATGAAGATCAGGATGTTGTGTACCTTCACCTTGGGAAATGTGCAAAAGAAACTGCAAAAGACCAAAACCAACAAAGGAGGTCAGCAGAGGCTACGCAGGGTGGCAGAGACGCGTTTTCTCGGTATCTTCTAAAGATATTTTCCTTTTGGTGCTCACTCAGCTCCAAAAAAACCATGTCACATCATCTCAACAAAGCGGCCTTTCAAGTTATTTCTACTTTCCAGGAAGTTTGCAGAACTTCCAGAGCAAATCCTAATTCAAGCAGCTTAAACCTGCCCTCTCCCCAGCTGGATATGGAGAGCAGTAAATCACAGAATCATTGAATCACAGAATCACAAAGGTTGGACAAGACCTCCAGGATCATCC